TTCATTATTATTTTTAGAACTCTTCAGTTCTAACATTAAATAAGCGATATAACAACGACAGAAAAGAGCGCCGTCTCTCATAAGTAAATGAGTTCTCTCTTTTTGGCTGTTTCGCGCCGTACTTAATAACAGGATTTGTTGATTTTCGTTAGAATGTGTTCCAATTGATAAGAATTCATTAAAACTCACGAGAGTCAATCGAAACATCCCCTTGTTCACAAAAACTCAGTTCAAAATGGTGAAATTTAGTAGAGTTTCAGGTGAAAGAAGGAACCATGAGTCACGGTGGATGCTAGTGGTTCCTATTGAATCTTGATCTGTCCCAAAAAATCGATAAATCTGTCAGGTTCTATGAAAATTTCTCATATTTAGGGTCTGTATTTCACTTTTCTCTTCCGCCTGTAAAATTCCCGGGCCTGATTTTCGTTGACTAACTTTTGATGGATCCTCCATGAATCCTCGTGGATACACTGATAGCCTGATGATTACTGAAGACTTCTAACGTAAGCTTCTTGATGAACTCCAATGAATTAAGGTTTCAAGTGGATCCTCATGGCTCTAGGATCTGCTTTGTCCTTCTTGTCAAAATTAAACCGAGAAGCATTTACTCAATCTTGCACAAAAGAAATCCTTGGAAGCTGAGGAGTGACAAAACGGATTATGTGAAGATATAGTGCTTGAGAGACAGAGTTACAAAGTGTTTTGTGATCGCATTCAGACATTATCTGATCGACAGAACTTCGTTTTCTTACTATGTTTCTGCATTTTTTAGCTAGACTCTTCTAAAATGGTAAGCTCGAATCTGCATCTAAACTCAGCTGCTAAATCATCGCCCCTTGACAGTATTGACGTCAATCACTTCTCGGATAATCCATTTTTAATCGTTCCTACTACCGAAGAGAGGCCAACGGCGGTCGGAGATATTCCAAGTGGAAAATATCTCGCCGGTTACACGAACATCAGTGAAAAAGAACGTCAACAAATTTTAAGCAGGCTGATCCGCGTACAGATGATGAAGTATGCGTTGAAGAAGTTTCAAGTTACGCACACGCGTCTCGACGTTCGACGGCAAGTTCACATGAGCGTACCATCTACTGCCACCGACTTAGATTCGAAGAAAGCGAGAGACCTCGTTGACAGATACCAACACGAACCGACGAATATCGATCTTCTCATTCATGTGTACACACTGCAAACATCATTGTATGGCGCACTTCAGAGCGACTGTGCTTCATACGCAATTGAGTTCTACAGAAACCTCGGAATCTTGAGAGACCGTGCTTACAAGGGACAATCATTTCGCGGTTTAATACTGTGGGCGGTTTTAGGTTGCAGTTACTATTAGGGACTCCTATCCTGACTCCCAACTCAAGGCCTGAGAGAGAAAACATTTGAACTAAGAGAAATATAGTTAAGCAAATAGTTGCCGTATTAATTGTTTTGGCTACATAAGTGGTAAAATGTCAAGGCA